ACACACACACACACACACACACACACACACACACACACACACATCTGACCGTCATAGACTTTGTCAAGCATTTCCGAATGTGTTCGGTTACATCTTGGGATAAGTGACGATTTGTTATACCTGTGCGGGTAACGGGGTGCAGTGTGAGGGACGGAACCGGTTTGCCAGCCATACTTACAAATCGATCCCAAGAATGAAGGTGATTAGTCTGAGTTGAGCAGTTGAAAATGTGCGGTTTTAATAGAGCTGAGTTCAACTTTTGTGTACATCTGAATTATGCTAACCTTTAAAGGCTAGCTTGATATGGACGACCATTTCGCTTAGGCTATCGCCGGGGTTACCTTTTCGGAATTGCTTACTATGAATATCGATGAGCCTCTCTGGATGACCATTGTACAGCAATGCTCTTCTTAAGAATGCCTCTTTTCCTTGTAGTGTTGTATCTGGATACCAAGCATTTCTCGCCCTATAAACTGAGGATTTTACAAGTTCACATTTGTTAACCACGTGGAAAAGTTCAGCTATGGGTCACACCATGTTGCCTCTCGGCAAAAAGATTGTCGTAGAGTCCCATTGAAATGGTTCGTGATCTGTAATGAATAAAAGTATCGTCCGCATGACGTATATACAGCCCATCTATACGTCAAAAATCTGATTAATTGTAGTTCCTGCAAACCCAATATCAAGCATTTTATTTCCTTAATAATCCAAGAGAGGAATATTGAGGAAAGTGATTTGAATTAAAATTATCAGATAATTTAGCACTGGTTAGATGGTTCAATTTATTGTCACTGACTTTCTAGTTTTCAATCTGCCAGTTTGAATCAAGCCAATTCTAAGCGAATCTCTCACGTGGCATGGGATGAGTCGTCAACGACTGTTGCTGCACAGGATTTTGCTTCAGTGGCATAAAATACCATACTATTCTTTTTTTACTGAATACACAATGGTACAATTTTCAGGAAGGGGGAAGCGACCAATCAAAGGGCTACCATGGGGAAAGTCAGGCGGTGATGGTGGGGTTCAAAAACACGTCCTCCGAGGCAGTAATTTAGTGACGTCACCATCAGGCCACCACTGCCTCAATAATTATAGTCGCAATGTAAGGTTATAGTAGCCGTGAAGACATCATTTTTCCGATAAATTTGTATCTCTTTCCGAGACAGATTGGTATTTGTAATGATTAATGTCTTGATTTATTCAGGTAGATATTCGGTGTGTTTATCAGTCAAAACACCGATGCAATAGCTTTTTGGGGTATGATTGGCAACTGCACTCCTGTCTTTCATGCGATTCCCCGGGGGATTCAATAATTTGATAGTCTTCCACTTTTAAATGCAATGAAAATCTTTGTCACGACCAACAAGAGCACTGGACGGCTGTTTCATCCTGTTTGGAACTCGTCAGCAGTGCGTACTTTGGGTGTCCCTATCAGGACTCGGAGGCCGATCTTAGGGTTGGCAGTCGACACCTTCACCTCCTACCCAAGATCGTCAACAGTGTCTGATGTGAAAACTCGACTGAACCAATCCAAACACTCACCGTCTCTCACTTTTGTTCTACAATCTTGACTGTTTTTCCAATGTACTGTATTCGCACCAAAGCGGAAAAACTCATTGACTGCTGAAATGATTAAAGTATCTTTCTGAACTTGGTGGGTAGGCAAAATCGATGTTTTGCATTTGACTCACAGCTACTTGTGAGTAGTCCATATCCACCGTCCCGTCCAAGATTTGAACTCCGGACTCATCGCATGGAAAGCGTGTGCGTTACCACTTTGTCAACCAGCTTATACCATGGCTGAACCAAATTGTCATTTTACGCTTGTTTGAGTTTGCAGATTGTCATTTGTATTTCCCTTCTTTGCTGTAGGGCCAAATGAACTGATTGACTATCACTGAACAAACATGAGTTGGCAATTTGGTTCAGCCATAGCATGAGCTGGTTGGAAGTAGTAACGCACACGTCTTCCATATGGTGGGTCCGGAGTTCAAATCCTCGACTGGACGGTAGATATGCACTATTTATGAGCCCTAATAAGGGCGAAACTTGAGTCTAGTGTTTCCGAGCGTATGGTTGAATCGATGGTTTGAGGATTGTGCGTGAAGGTGAAGGATAGTCAGTTCGAATCAATAAAAAAGGAAATGTATGTTGTTTAATCCTAGTAAGAAGTGATGATTTCCTCTATTTTGATGGTAATTTACATCCCTAACTACTCTGTCCTTATTCACCGAATGACCATATAGTGGTGATCACTGATTACATCGATTTCTGGTTTAACCAGCCCATTTTGTTTTCTTTCGTCTTTTCAATCTCCCAGAGTTTGTGATGTTCCGTCTCCTCGGAACTCTCAACTTCCTCGAAACGAACAACCTCCACCGGGGAGAAAATGTGATCAATCCATCCGCATGGGACGTCACATGAAACTCACTCAATCGTTGGATCAGTTTATCAGAGAAGGAACAAACAGATGTGTGTCAAAATCCACACTTGATTTGAGCACTTGTCCTTCAGTCAACGATCCGCTTGTGGAAAGCGTGAAAGAGTCCGGTCCTTCCAGTCTGATGACCGCTGACTTGGTCGATCCAGAACAACTGCTCTCCTCTCTATCTAAACTGAATCTCGACCCAAGTCAGGGAAATAGCTTGTGGGATGACAGTTATTTCTCCGATGTGGAAAGTGAGTATGCTGCACTCGAGCTGCTTTTGCCGTTTTCCCAATCTACATTCAAGCCGCACGATAACGCACGCGGTGAAGCTAGCCTACTGTTAGGTGAGGACAGCAAACCTAGAGAGGCTGGATATTTCTCTGATACCGAGACGATATTTGCTTCCAAATCATCATCTAATCGACAATCAACACCAACTGTGCTTGCTCCCAAGGAACTGAAGTCCAACTGGCCACCGATTACTCTCCCCAATTCAAATCAGGGTCAGGTGAGACCTACACCAGTGGCCTCAGTGGCTCCGATCATGGCCTCATCATCTTCCTCCCTACTGTCTTCCTCCCTCAAACCACATGGATCTCATATGAGTTTACATTTACCCAAGACCAGCACCGATCTAGGATTGAAAGATCCATGTGCCGCAATGGCAGCATTCGAGGCTGAACTTGCTATCGGGTCCGACGGTCTATTTGACTTGGATTGCGTCAAGTGGCCACGATTGCGCAGTGCCCAGAGTATTGCTCATTCAATCTCAAATGAAAAATCTGTGGGTATGCAGGGAGCCGGGGAAGCTAATTTGCCTGAGCAATCCAGCCTGTTGGATCACATCAAATTACCCTATCCGAAAACAGTTGTTCAATGTGGTGGAATTGCGGGAACGAATTTGGTGTCTGTCTCCGGCTCGATTAACATGAGTACGACCGCGGCCACGACAGCCGCAACCACTGGATNGATGTATGGGTCACCCGGTACGGAACAGCAGTTCGAATTACGCTCTAAATCACAAAATTGCCAACTCGCCCACTTCATCACTGCCTGAGAATCCGCTTCGGGCGGGACCATCGTTGTTCAACTTGGACACAATCGGTAAGTGTACACTGCTTTTCTGATTGACTCTACGTCAACCCAGTTAGTCACGGGATGAGGGTTTAGAACATATATGTAACGGATTCGGTGGTTATAATCGTGACACCTTGCATTTATAATTTTCAGCTCACAACTGTCCGTGAGTAGCTGTGTCAGTAATTATCCTTCAGACTTCATCTGAACGCGCCATCTTCGATTCATGTAGTCAATCATTCATTTGAGAATGTTTTTTTTCTAGTTTGTTTGAATATAAACACAGTAACAACCTCAGGGGTAAGGATTTCAAGTCCCGACCCGACTGATTGCGGTCCAAGTCCTGACGGGGACACAAAAAGTACGCACTATCGACTTGTCCCAAATAGGACGAAACGGCTGTCCAGTGCTCTTTGTTGGTTATCACAAACATTTCCATCGCATTGAAAATGCATACAAACAGTGGGGAATTAACGATCTCCCAAGAAGTGAAACCCACACCGAAGACCATCAACAATGCCGGGTACCTCTGAACAATCGAATGGGCTAATCAAAGCTTGATACTCTACAGTAATAACCTCTTTCTAAAAACGAATCCGGTTTACTTCCACGCCTTATATGATTCGCCACTTCAAATCCCGGGGCTTATACTAACGGTTTCCATCACTGAACAGTGGGTCCTCATGATTATAGGGGTTTACCCTTTCCGTTGTGTGTAATAAAAAAGAATACTATGTTGGAGGTACCCGAGCATCATACTGAACATCGCCTACCATAGATGATCTGTTCGAGGAGATCCGTATGATAAATTGCGCTTACTGAATCAAATGATTTGCTTACTACGAGCATCCTGTCACCGATCAAAACGCCACCCGCGCAACTATAACTAATCAAGCACATTTTTGTTTCCTTGTTATCTTATTCTCTGGTATTCTGACTGATTCTAACCGATACAAAAGAAATAAATTCTCATGCTATATTAGTCTGCTTAAACGACTTTGTGTGAAGTATCACGCGGCGAAGGAAAACGCAGATACTCAATTGGTGCTTGTTTTGATGACGCAGAAAATCCACTCGTGAATACTTTGTGTGGCGACCCTCTTATAGCATCACTGGAACAAATCAAAGAACAACTCAGTTGTCCACCTGCAAAGAGGCTGAATGAGTGCGCCGGAACGTATTTGTTTTTGATTAAGGGAAATCCGGGAAGCAGCACAATTTCAAATTGTTGCTCATTCTCAATGAAACCCATGTGAATCCCAATAGACTTTGACTTTAACGTGTGACCTTTTCATTCGAGTGAAAAGCTGTAAGCAGGTGATTAATACTCGGAGCAGCTGACGTGATACACACAACAGCAATTTCGAGGCAGTTGATCATGAGGCTTTGCGGAAACGAATCCGTGCTTTGGCAAGTTGGGCCTTGGGTTGGGTTTTCCACCGAAGCAATAAGCAAGAAGATAAATTAGGTGAATTAAACCGTTGTGGAAGTATCGCACATGGGACAAACCGTCTTCAGTGCAAGCGTTACGTTGTACAGCTCCACAGTTGATCTAATCTTGCAAAGCCAGCTATTTGTTCAAACGCACATCTTTTATGAAACGGCGAATTCTTCTCTATGATAACGGGACATTCAGATCGTTAGCCCTCCAGTTCCGTAGAAATCAGAATAAAACCTAACTGATTAATCGGGTTTGGGTGTGTTTGATTGTTTTGGATTCCTGCAACTGACAAACAGTTAGACAGTGAGTACACATTCCTCCAAAAGGCTTGTGTTATAGATTGGTGAAACATGATTTCCTACTTTGTGCTGATCGGTGGAAAGGATGAGCTCAGTGGTTGTGAGTAGTTACCACTTGAATATGGTAACCGGCGTCCAAAACCTTGGAGATTGGAATAATGAACCACGTTGCAACCTAATAGGGCGGGTGCGAAATAGATCCTGATGAGAGTGAAACTGCCTGTCGCCAAAGTTGGTTGCTATGGCAGGGTTCGAACCTCGAGCCTTAAGGCTCAAAGCACGCCAATGACAACATCACCGACCCTCAACTAGTGTCACCCCTCAAAACTCAGAGCTTATCATTAATTAGACTAACTACACAACCGGATGGCCACTGTGTAGTTTTTGTTTTGGAAACTAAGATATGTGAGTAGGATTTCAGTAACGAATTCTTAGGCTCAATGTGAATGTCAGTGGTAATAATAACGAATAAAGGCCAACCGTTAGGTTAAGATTTTTAATAATTTGTAACGTACTTTTTCAAAAATGAATGAACATGAGGGGTGGTTATTACAATGGCTCTCGGATGAACTGTTCGCCACATTTCTGATTGGATGGGTTCAGGTGAATCAGTACTGTGGCATTGTGCAGTTCTGGATTACAGTGATCACTGGCAAGGATCCCCAATGATTTGGGTTGAACAACTGCTTGTCACTGGCAAGACTATTTGTTTGTGAACCGCGCAAAGTATGGCTTGCTCGATGATTCAGTCAAAGTTCCCAACATAGTGCAGACGATTTTCTCTCCGGACCTCAAAGCTGAAGGCTTCGGCTGACCAGGACTAGAATTACAAGTTGGTGGATTCATTTGGCTAAGCAGCGGTTCTTCGATGATCAATAAAACCGATTAGGCAGATTCGGCACGCTTTAGGTTTACACATCCAGAATACTCCGAGTACTTTTCGACTTTTCGAGGATTTGGACTGAATTGGTTACTGTTATATAGCAGCTGAATATGAACGGTCGAATGGTGTTCACCTCGTAGCTGTCTACACACATAAACACACACAGCTCCCGAACTATTTTCGAAAGTGATTGAATGAAACGTTGGTAACAGTTGTTCCTCTTCACCTCTCTATTTCTCATTTATTTTGAAGCGCTCAAGCTTACACTTGGCGCCGGGACTAACGGGATCACAATCCGATTCTGGCTCCGTTCGAGAAACCACCACTGATTCTGGTGGATGAGAGCGTGCCCAACACTTTCATTATCGAGGCCGCTCAGCGGTGCACTCTTTCCCGATTTAGGTGTCTGATCCATTCGGCTACGTAGCGGCGCGTCTGCCCGATGGGACAAGTCATCAGGCTAAACTGGTTTCTTTGGATTGTATGTGCAAAGCCGGGCTTGTCATCCATTCATCTATCCGTTTGACTTGACAGCCCACGGTGAATTGATGATTCCGCTCGGCAAAGCCCGACTGTTCATTTATCATAGGTGGCATACACATTGGAGCGGGGTGTTTGTTTTTCCAAAAGCAAAACTCACGCGGTATTATGTACGACTTTCAAGAAGACGTGAGTGATGCGAACTTCACTAACGTAGATGAAACGAATAGTTTTAAAAGAGAAAAAATTCATGTTAAAGTTTATTCAGGATTGTTTTTTTCATGATCACAGCCAGATGGATCCCTCATGCCAGCTCCGTCTTGAAATGTCCCCGGGATGAGAGTAAAAAACAAGACTAGCGAATTCTATGTGCTTCAGAAGACACAATGGCAACCATGTCATTTATCGTGAAAGCATAAATAACAACTGCACAAAATTCAATTGGGAGTCAAAACCTATCACTAAAGAAGAGAAGCCCCGCTTGTTTTTCAATAAAATAATTCCTTTCCAACGCGGCTGTTCGTTACTAAACGGGTTTAATTTGCTCGGTTTTAAAAGTCGTTTTATATGGATAATTCAATTACTAGACATTGTACAAGGAGGAGTTGGCTTGTTGAATGGGCATTGCCATGAGCTGTACGAGGGAGCCACCATCAGCAATGCTCCAAGCACAAACGATTTCATTCAAAAAAACCTATAAGGCTCACCTCTACCTACGCCGAATAACCTATCGACCCGGAGTCAAAGTGTTTCCTCACTAAGAACAAACCATCGTATTATCTGTACAGATACCATTATAAACCATTCGAAAACAATGGTTCGCCTTTGAACTTGTGTTCCAGTGTTTTCCGGTGGGTTTATTTTAGAATTATTGTAAATTATTTCTTTTTCTGTTTGCTGTAAATCACAAATTTTCCATATGATATGATTTACGTGACAATCAGTGATCCGAGCGTAACTTCGTCACAATCGATCTGCTCACTAGATCTCCTCACATTCACTTATTGATTCAATCATTGCTGGACGTACACTCAAAGGAGTTCGAACTCCACTGACGTTCCTGATCGTCTTTGCAATTTGNTTGATTCCATTGAAGCTTATTAGACTGCGGATTATTGTCAAAGTCGCCTGATCAAACAGTTGTCTGTGTTATGGAGTATATAGTTGATGAAAACCAAGCCAATCCGAAGCGATGAAGCTCGTCAATCCTAGGAAAAAGTTGAGCGCTAACTTTAGCGGAATACAATGAAATCACCACTGTTGGTTGTGTATTCCGTTCTGGATCAATTTGCACATATACGCATAGTTATCATCCACATGCGCACGGGTAACAGACCCCTGCACGTAAAAATCGCGACCGAAAATGCTGTGTTTCGAATAAAACCCACCGTTGAAATATCTCGTGGCCCCGAGTTTCACGACCCAGTTGCGAGACGCGATGGATCGTCCCAAGATGAGAGATCGAGGGGTAGTTTATTGTCTTCAATATTGTCTCTGAGTGGTCACATTCCCGTAAAAATGCGTTAGTTGTAGCTCACAGTTATTGGTGGAGTGACTGACAGGTCGAGAACGTGATTTCACTCACGGCCCACAGGCCTCTCTTGGATCTTCATCAAACTTGTGTGCTTGCCATCATCTGCCCCCTCTTCCTTTGACTTGTGGGCTTGATAACCGGTCAATCGTTCCTCAAGCCTCGGTGTACCAGCAAGGCCTTTTCACCCGTAAAACAATTTTTTACCACACTTTTCGGCCTAAAGCATCCAGGAATCTATACTATCTTTGTCGGATTGATCTATTACAATATTAAGGGCTCAGACTAGTTTCTTTGTCGTAGTTTGATAGTTTCCTTCTTTTAATTGAGAGTTGTAATTTGTTTA